TCACACCCGGACCTGTTTCAGGATTTGCAATGATTTACCCCTGCCCTCCCTGCAGACTGCAAGTCCAGGTCTGGGGCCATGTTAGTGTCCACCCCTGTATCTCTAGTGCTCGTCGTGCTGCTGACTGCAGAATGTCTGATGCGTGGGTGATGAGAAGAGCTTGAGGCCCAGCAGTTCAGCTTTGGTCTGCATCTTAGCTGCTAGGTTTGGCCTCTGGGACTCGCATGCGCAAACGTCTTGGAGCCGCAGCTGTCCACTTGACCACGCAGTGACTTGCTTCTGACAGAGGAGAGAGAGTTGTCCGCAGATCAGTTCCTGGAAGGTTGTGATTGGTGGTGGTGACCGTAGGCAAGCAGTGGAAATAGATGATAAAATCTATCATAAAATTGGAATTAATCGTACGCTTACTTTGTGAGGCTTCTCCAAGACTCCTAAAAACTCAGATTCTTCTCTTTCTCAATCCTTCTCTGGAATGTGTGAATATCATATGATGGTAGCTCATTGAATGACTTTATGTGGACGACATGTAAATTACTCATATAAAGTACATACGCCTTTCTTCTTTTTTTTCTGAACTAATACTCCTGACCCTTAGTTTGGATGTAGTTTGCATTGACATATATCCTTAAATCTTATATGTGCGTTCTACAATGTTTGCAGTTTTGTTTTTGACTTTTCTTTTACATAATGGTGTGTAAAGTGTCTACAGACAGCAGTGTCGTAAGATACAGAATAATCTCTGTAGCCATCATATGAACACTGTGGCAGTTCTGGACTTTTCTAAGAATGGATTTAATTATGTTCTAGCACAACAACTTCTCTGGGGATATTCAGGTAGGATAACAGACTGAATGTTGTGTTCATGTGAAGCCCGATGTTTTTGTTCTCTTTGAATCTTGTTTTTTCATTTACCCGCATAGCTAGAAATTATGTCAATGATTTTATTTTCTGGTGGTAATAACAATTAAAGGAGAGAGGAAACTATCAATACAGATATTTGTTGTTACAATACCACAATAAAGCCATATTTAAATGACTTGAAAACATTCATCTCATAGAACATTTAGTTTCTAACGAGAGAATCATGTGGACATTCATATTTTAGGCTGTGGTGTTTAATGGAGAGTGTGATCATGAATGCACTTCTATTACATGACACACAGTGACTAGGAAGGACAGAGGGATCCGACTCTGGGGTCTGCCTGTGGCATTGGGGGACCCCAGGTCACTGTGTGGAGTGTGGCACAGCGTGTGAGGCTGGTGGTAGCAGGCGCCCTGTCTTTACACACTGAAGAGAAGGGAAGTGGTCAGCAGGTCTCATAACACCCCATGTGACATTTTACTGACTGTCCTTTTCGAAAAACTAAACAATTTTTGACTCAACTTATCATTTTTCCCAAGTTTATGTTTACTTGGAAAGTTAGAGAATACAAGATTTGCTTTTAGAAATTATTTATGATAGATATTATTCTTTAAAGCAGGCTGTAATATATTAAAATTAATTTAGAAACCAAAATGAGTCACTGTTACGCTGTTGATTTATATGCTTTTTAAGTTTGGTTTCTAGCTTGTATTTAAAGGTTGTTTATCATTTACAGCTGCTATAACTATATATTTTGAAGTGTTATCAATCTATCATATTTTTGAAGTTATAATAAAATTAAAAAAAACAAAATCCAGATGTAAGTAGGACTGCACAATCAGCACCTGCCCTGGTGACAGCGTCCATGTATCTCTAGGAGGAGAGCGTGGAGGTTGGTTGCAGGTGTCAGTGCTGAGTTTTGGGAAGAAATGTGGTCCCCTGGGCTGCTGCTGAGCCCCCCACCTTCGGGATGCTTCTGCCAGCCTGTGCCCCGCATCCTGCCGTGCAGCTCCTGGCGGTGAGCTGGCAGACTCCCTCTCCTTTCTGCTTTTGTTTGGTCCTTTCATTTTTTTCTAGTTTCCTTTCTTTTTTTCTTTTTGCTTCTTTAAAGATTTGACGGATCCATAGCACAATTTGTAATTGAGCTTCCACTGTATCCTGTGTATTTACAGAGAGGTGTGGCAGTCTGCACGGTGGAGTGCCTGGAACTCACCAGCCCTCCATGCTGTCGCGGCCACTTTCTGTACAAGAAAAGTGTCAAGATTGTCACTGCCCTTGTCGACTCAGGTGGCCCATCTGTGCAACCATCTAGGTGCGACCCTAGGAGGCGGGTTGAGATTGCAAACTCCCAGTTAAAGAGTTCAGTATTGAGACGTCTTGGTAAAGTAAATTTCTAAGTAGACTGTAGTAAGATATCCATCCATGCTGAAATTTATTGTCAAGGTTAGCACTGAACGTGAACAGTAGATAGTGCAGTCTCCGAGTCATGGTTCACTGTATTGCTGTTATTTTGAAAATATAAGTTGATTGAACTAATCGATAGAAAAGTAAAAATGACTTTCAGAAGGGTTCCTTCTAAGTTAAATTTGGTAATAGTATAAATCCCTGTCTTTAGGAACAGTTTTAGTACTAGAGTTAACCTCTTTTTTGTTAATAATTAAAAGAGATCAACTATAGAACTAAAACTGATAATTTTTAGGGCTGTGAAAAGCATAAGTCATTCATGAAAATGCTGTAAAAATGATTTTGCTGATCCTTATAGAGGTGCTTTACAGTTTCATTGACTTTCTAACCCAGGACATGGAGATTTGTTTTGTGGTAACATGTAAGGGTTAAAAACTGAAAGTCTTCAATACAAAGCAGTTAGAGCTCAGGACTTCAGACTGAGTCGACTTAATATACTTGGACTTGTGCCTTATTACATTTTCTCTCTCCTTTATTTTCTTTCACGTTTTTTTGGTTGAGCATGACTGATGTGTTAGTTGCATGTCACATGTGAGTTATGTGTGTGCTTTATTGACATTTTACTTATACATTAATATCAGACAATTTTCTGGAAGGTAGGTATAATATTTTATAAATTGCCAAATTCATGCAAGGATATTGGGTAAGATTATCTGTGGAATGCATGTCATGCGGCTATTACTGACATAGAACACCAAATGGTGCATATTTAATTTTTGTTTTCTGAGTGTTCTGATTTTTAATTTCTAACTCTTTTTTGTATTTGTCTTTGGTATTATATCTTTGCCTTGCTCATGAATTGGACATTCTATTATAGTTAATTCAATTCAGTAAGCAAATTTTAAGAACATTGTTGTGAAATTATATTTTAATGGGTCTCATAGTTCAAAGAGGCTGTACCAATCAAGCTGCTAACAAAATTTTATAGTTTCTCAAATATTGCCTGAATTACCCTAGATCACACAATGTAGAAACTGAAAATATTCTGAATTAGGACCTTGACATCCTCCTAAAGTTGAAAAATGTACCCTTGCTTAAATTTTTGTGGTAGTAATTTTAGAATGTCATATTGTTACATGACAGGTAATTTCTTAGTAGAAGGTAAATGCATCTTGGGGCAACCCCCTCAGTTCCCCTCCCACTCTGGGAGTTTTTCTGTCCTCTCAATAAATCCTTTCTTAAAAAAAAAGAAGAAGAAGACGGTAAAAGCATATTTCTAATATGTAAGCTTCTGAAATAAGGGTATCCTTCCTTGGTTAAAAAATAATGATATATAAAAACTCCCAGGGCCTGAGTTGTACCCCTCACGTTTTCCACAGTTACTCTTTTAAAAGTCTAGAAGTTGTAGGGAGAAAACTGAATGTTAGTCTATGCAAGATTGAATTTGAGGTGCTATTATTTCTCTGTGTGGACAAATACATACCTGTAGATAGTGTTATTTTTTCATTTTGTTTCTACTGATATTATACATATTACAAATACTGTGAAATACAGAATGTGCTTAGAAAGAAAACATCAATTTCTAGGCCAGTGATTCCAACAGCAAAAACTACCCTTCCCTTCCTATAGTATCTCCTTAGTCTTCTGGTTTACCTGGCATGCAGATGGGGAGCTGACCTGGAAGGGACACCCCTGCCTTCCCAGCAGGCCCACTTGCTCCCTCTGATTGTCCCTGAGGCATTTCTGCCAGACTCCAGGGCCCTAGGACCTCACTGCATTGCATGACAAGTAGTGACGTGAGCACAACACTGGAGCATTGCGAACAGGCTCCTGTCTGGGCAAGATGTAGCGCTATCTCTAGACCTGGAACTTCAGCCCCATCGTTTTTCCAGACAAGAGACTTCGAGTCCCACGAAGACGGAATGGAACCCCAGTCAGACATCTGTGTGTGCTTGGAGGGGAGCCATGGAATTCTCCTCACTGCCTTGGCTTCAGGAAACGTGGCTGGCTGAAGTTCTGTTTGGGCTCATGCCCATCTTGACACCCTGCAGCCTCACAGCTCCTGGAAACTTGACGTTAGCACAGACCCTCATACAGGTTGGGCATCCCTCACCCGAAATCCAAAACCCAAAGTGCTCCCAAATCTTAAATGAGCACCCACATGATGCTCGAAAGAACTGCTCACTGGAGCATTTCAGATTTCAGATTTTGAATTTGGGATGCTCAGCTGGTAAGTATAATGCAAATATTCCAAAGTTTCAGAAGTTAGAAATCGGAAACACTTCTAGTCCCAAGCATTCGGGTAGGAGACAGTCAGTCTGCATTGGGCTTACCCATTTTTACTCTTAAATAAGATGCTTCTATGAACTTTATTTGCTTTTTTCTTTGGTGATTTCATTTTTAGACAAATAAGCACTAAGCACAATTTTTCATGTTGACTCCGTTTGCAGAATAGTATAAGATATTCTTAAAAACACATTTAAATACATTTTGTTTATTTATTTAAAATAAGCACTTTCCAGAGAGATTTATTTCTCTCGTAGGTTATTATAAATATGGTTATGTGTAGAGTCTATGTCGTTGCTAGTTAGACATCGTTTTACCCCAGTTATGCTAAGTTTTTACATGTACTTAAAACTCTTGACAACTTTCTAGTCCTATCTTATCTGTGAGTATAGAAAGCTGTGACAGTACAATTATATGTATTTATAACGATATGCTATATGATTTACAGGAAGACCATGTACTCAGCTGCAACTTCTAAACCCAGAACGATTTGCACGTCTTATCAAAGAAGTAATGAATGCGTTCTGGCCTGGCAGAGAGTTGATTGTTCAGTGGTATCCACTTGATGAAAACAGAAATCACCCACCTGTTGCATGGCTTAAGATGGTTTGGAAGAATCTTTATATACATTTTTCAGAGGATTTGACTTTATTTGATGAGTTGCCACTTATCCCCAGAACTGCGCTGGAGGAAGGGCAGGCGTGTGTGGACCTCATTCGACTCAGGATTCCGTCATTAGTCATCTTAGATGATGAATCTGAAGCACAGCTTCCAGAATTCTTAGCAGACGTTGTACAGAAACTTGGAGGGATTGTCCTCAAAAAGTTAGATCCCACTATACAGCATCCACTTATTAAAAAATATATTCATTCGCCATTACCAAGTGCCGTTTTGCAGATAATGGAGAAGATGCCACTGCAGAAACTATGTAATCAAATAGTGTCGCTACTTCCAGCACACAAAGACGCGCTCAGGAAGTTCTTAGCTAGTTTAACTGGTAGCAGTGAAAAGGAGAAGAGAATAATTCAAGAATTGGCAATATTCAAGCGAATTAACCATTCATCTGGCCAGGAGATTTCTTCTTACACAAAGTTGAAAGGTTGTAAAGTCTTACACCACACTGCCAGGCTTCCCCCAGACCTGCGACTTTCTGTTTCTGTCATAGACAGCAGCGATGAAGCTACTATCCGCTTGGCAAACATGCTGAAGATAGATCCGTTGAAGACCACGAGCTGCTTGAAGCTTATTTTAAAAGACATTGAAAATGCATTTTATTCGCAGGAAGAGGTCACATGCCTTATGCTATGGATCCTTGAGAATCTGTCCTTTCTTAAAAATGAGAATCCAGATGTGCTTCAGTGGCTCATGCCGTTAAAATTCCTTCCACATTCACAGGAGCAGATGGTATCAGCCAGCGAGCTCTTTGACCCTGACGTAGAAGTACTGAAGACTCTCTTTTATAGTGAGGAAGAAACCTGCTTCCCTTCCTCAGTTTTTACCTCGCCAGATACTCTTCACTCTTTAAGACAGATTGGTTTAAAAAATGAAGCCAGTCTCAGAGAAAAAGATGTTGTGCAAGTGGCAAAAAAAATTGAAGCCTTACAGGTGAGTTCCAGTCCAGATCAGGACGTTCTTCTGAGGAAAGCCAAAACCCTCTTACTGGTTTTAAATAGGAATCATGCATTGCTGCAGTCATCGGAAGGAAAGATGACCTTGAAGAAAATAAAGTGGGTTCCAGCCTGCAAGGAAAGGCCTCCAAATTACCCAGGCTCTCTGGTCTGGAAGGGCGATCTCTGCAGTCTGTGTGCCCCTCCAGAAATGTGTGATGTGGCCCACGCAATTCTAGTCGGCTCCTCACTCCCTCTGGTCGAAAGTGTCCATGTAAACCTGGAAAAAGCATTAGGTATCTTCACAAAGCCCAGCATCGGTGCTGTCTTAAAACACTTCAAAATTGTTGTTGATTGGTATACCTCAAAAACCTTCAGTGATGAAGACTACTATCAATTCCAGCATATTTTGCTTGAGATTTATGGGTTCATGCATGATCATTTAAATGAAGGGAAAGATTCTTTTAGAGCCTTAACATTTCCATGGGTTTGGACTGGCAAAAAATTCTGTCCCCTTGCCCAAGCTGTGATCAAACCAATCCATGATCTTGACCTTCAGCCTTATTTACATAATGTGCCTAAAACCATGGCAAAATTCCACCAGCTGTTTAAAGTCTGTGGTTCAATAGAGGAGCTGACATCAGATCATATTTCCATGGTTATTGAGAAGTTATATCTTAAGAGTGACCAAGACCTCAGCGAACAAGAAAGCAAACAAAATCTTCATCTTATGTTGAATATCATCAGATGGCTGTACAGCAATCAGATTCCAGCGAGCCCCAACACACCAGTTCCTATACATTGTAGTAAAAGTCCTTCTAAGCTTATCATGAAACCGATCCATGAATGCTGCTATTGTGACATTAAGGTCGATGACCTTAATGACTTACTTGAAGATTCCGTGGAGCCGATCATTTTGGTACACGAGGACATACCCATGAAAACTGCGGAGTGGCTGAAAGTTCCCTGCCTTAGTACTAGACTGATCAACCCTGAAAACATGGGGTTTGAGCAGTCGGGGCAAAGAGAACCACTCACTGTAAGGATTAAAAATATTCTGGAAGAATACCCTTCAGTGTCTGATATCTTTAAAGAACTGCTTCAAAATGCTGATGATGCCAATGCCACAGAATGCAGCTTCATGATCGATATGAGGAGAAATATGGACATAAGAGAGAATCTCCTGGACCCGGGGATGGCAGCTTGCCACGGGCCCGCCTTGTGGTCATTCAACAATTCTGAATTCTCAGATTCAGACTTCTTGAACATAACTCGGCTAGGAGAGTCTTTAAAAAGATTAGAAGTTGACAAAGTTGGAAAATTTGGTCTTGGATTTAATTCTGTGTACCATATCACTGACATTCCCATCATTATGAGTCGAGAGTTCATGATAATGTTTGATCCAAACATCAACCATATCAGCAAACACATTAAAGACAAGTCCAACCCTGGGATCAAAATTAACTGGAGTAAGCAACAGAAGAGACTTAGGAAGTTTCCCAATCAGTTCAAGCCGTTTATCGATGTGTTTGGCTGCCAGCTGCCTTTGACGGTAGAAGCTCCGTACAGCTACGGAGGGACTCTCTTCCGACTGTCCTTCAGAACTCAGCAGGAAGCAAAAGTGAGCGAGGTCAGCAGTACTTGCTACAACACTGCAGACATTTACTCCCTTGTGGATGAGTTTAGTCTCTGTGGACACAGGCTTATCATTTTCACCCAGAGCGTAAACTCAATGTATTTGAAATACTTGAAAATTGAGGAAGCCAATCCCAGCTTAGCACAAGACACAGTAATCATTAAGAAGAAATCCTGCCCTTCCAAAGCACTGAGCACGCCTGTCGTGAGTGTGTTAAAGGAAGCTGCTAAGCTCATGAAGACTTGCAGCGGCAGCAGTAAAAAGCTCCCCACGGACGAGCCAAGGTCGTCCTGCATTCTTCAGATCACAGTTGAGGAGTTTCACCACGTGTTCAGAAGGATCGCTGACTTGCAGTCGCCCCTGTTCAGAGGCCCTGATGACGACCCAGCTGCTCTCTTTGAAATGGCCAAGTCTGGCCAATCCAAAAAGCCACCTGATGAGTTGTCACAGAAAACGGTGGACTGTACCACGTGGCTGCTGTGCACCTGCATGGATGCAGGCGAAGCTCTGAAGTTTTCCTTGAGTGAGAGCGGGAGGAGACTGGGGCTGGTTCCGTGCGGGGCCGTGGGAGTTCTGCTGTCAGAAGTCCAGGACCAGAAGTGGACCGTGAAACCACATGCTGGAGAGGTGTTTTGCTATTTACCATTACGAATAAAGACTGGCTTGCCCATTCACATCAATGGGTGCTTTGCAGTCACTTCAAACAGAAAGGAAATCTGGAAGACAGACACCAAAGGACGCTGGAACACCACGTTCATGCGACATGTCATCGTGAAAGCCTACCTCCAGGCACTCAGTGTCCTGCGGGACCTGGCCTCCAGCAGGGAGCTGATGGACTATACTTACTATGCGGTATGGCCTGACCCTGATTTAGTTCATGATGACTTCTCTGTGATTTGCCAAGGATTCTATGAAGACATAGCTCATGGAAAGGGGAAGGAATTGACCAGAGTCTTCTCCGATGGATCCACCTGGGTTTCCATGAAGAACGTGAGGTTTCTAGATGACTCCATACTTAAAAGAAGAGATGTTGGTCCTGCAGCCTTCAAGATATTTTTGAAATACCTCAAGAAAACTGGATCCAAAAGCCTTTGTGCTGTTGAACTTCCTTCTTCAGTCAAACTAGGATTTGAAGAAGCTGGCTGCAAACAGATACTGCTTGAAAACACATTTTCAGAGAAACAGTTTTTTTCAGAAGTGTTTTTTCCTAACATTCAAGAAATTGAAGCAGAACTTAGAGATCCTCTCATGAATTTTGTTCTGAATGAGAAAGTGGATGAGTTCTCAGGGATTCTCCGTGTGACTCCATGTATCCCTTGCTCCTTGGAAGGACATCCTCTGGTTTTGCCATCAAGATTGATCCACCCAGAAGGGCGAGTCGCAAAGTTATTTGCTACTAAAGATGGGCGGTTCCCTTATGGCTCTACCCAGGATTATCTGAATCCTATTATTTTGATTAAGCTAGTTCAGTTAGGTATGGCAAAAGATGATATTTTATGGGATGACATGCTGGAACGTGCAGAATCGGTAGCTGAAATTAATAAAAGTGACCACGCTGCTGCTTGTCTAAGAAGTAGTATCCTAATAAGTCTCATTGATGAGAAACTGAAAATAAGGGACCCGAGAGCCAAGGATTTTGCTCCAAGATTTCAAACGATCCCCTTCCTTCCTTTTCTAACAAAGCCAGCTGGCTTTTCTTTGGACTGGAAAGGTAACAGTTTTAAACCTGAAACCATGTTTGCAGCAACCGACCTTTATACAGCTGAGCATCAGGATATAGTTTGCCTTTTGCAACCAATTCTGAATGAAAACTCCCATTCCTTTAGAGGATGTGGTTCAGTGTCGCTGGCTGTGAAAGAGTTCTTGGGATTACTGAAGAAGCCAACAGTTGATCTGGTTGTAAACCAATTGAAAGAAGTTGCAAAATCAGTTGACGATGGAATTACATTGTACCAGGAGAATATCACCAATGCTTGCTACAAACACCTCCATGAAGCCATGATGCAAAATGAAATTGCTAAGCTAGCAATTATTGAAAAGTTAAAACCTTTTAGCTTTATTCTAGTTGAGAATGCATATGTTGACTCAGAAAAAGTTTCTTTTCATTTGAATTTTGAGGCAGCACCCTACCTTTATCAGTTGCCCAATAAATATAAAAATAACTTCCGTGAACTTTTTGAAAGTGTGGGAGTGAGACATTCATTTACTGTTGAAGATTTTGCCCTTGTTTTGGATTCTATTGATCAAGAAAGAGGAACAAAGCAAATAACAGAAGACAGTTTTCAGCTTTGCCGGCGAATAATCAGTGAAGGGATATGGAGCCTAATTAGAGAAAAGAAACAAGAATTTTGTGAGAAAAATTATGGCCAGATATTACTGCCAGATACAAACCTTATGCTTCTCCCTGCTAAATCACTATGCTACAATGATTGTCCTTGGATAAAAGTAAAGGATACCACTGTGAAATACTGTCACGCTGATATACCCAGGGAAGTGGCTGTGAAACTAGGAGCCGTCCCTAAGCGGCACAAAGCCTTGGAGAGATACGCCTCCAATGTCTGTTTCACGACACTTGGCACTGAGTTTGGACAGAAGGAAAAACTGACCAGCAGAATCAAGAGCATCCTTAATGCCTATCCTTCAGAAAAGGAAATGTTGAAAGAGCTACTTCAAAACGCTGATGATGCAAAGGCCACAGAAATCTGTTTTGTGTTTGATCCCAGACAGCATCCAGTCGACCGAATATTTGATGATAAGTGGGCCCCACTGCAGGGTCCCGCACTGTGTGTGTACAACAACCAACCGTTCACAGAAGACGATGTCAGAGGGATTCAGAACCTCGGGAAAGGCACCAAAGAGGGAAACCCTTACAAGACTGGGCAGTATGGGATAGGCTTCAACTCGGTGTATCACATCACAGACTGCCCGTCCTTCATTTCTGGGAATGACATCCTGTGCATTTTTGATCCTCATGCCAGGTACGCGCCAGGAGCCACATCCATTAGTCCCGGGCGCATGTTTCGAGATTTGGATGCAGATTTTAGGACACAGTTCTCAGATGTTCTGGACCTTTATTTGGGAACCCACTTTAAACTGGATAATTGCACAATGTTCAGATTTCCTCTTCGCAATGCAGAAATGGCTAAAATTTCAGAAATTTCCTCAGTTCCATCATCAGACAGAATGGTCCAGAATCTGTTGGACAAATTGCGCTCAGACGGGGCTGAACTTCTAATGTTTCTTAATCACATGGAGAAGATTTCTATTTGTGAAATAGATAAAGGCACTGGAGCACTCAAAGTGCTCTATTCCGTAAAGGGCAAAGTCACGGATGGGGACAGGCTGAAAAGAAAACAGTTTCATGCCTCTGTGATTGACAGTGTCACTAAGAAGAGGCAGCTCCAGGACATCCCCGTGCAGCAAATCAGCTACACGATGGACACTGAGGACTCCGAGGGAAACCTGACCACGTGGCTCATCTGCAACAGGTCTGGTTTCTCGAGCATGGACAAAGTGTCTAAGAGCGTCATCTCAGCGCACAAGAACCAGGACATTACTCTCTTCCCACGAGGCGGGGTTGCGGCCTGCATCACGCACAACTACAAGAAGCCCCACAGGGCCTTCTGCTTCCTGCCTCTGTCCCTGGAGACCGGGCTACCCTTCCACATGAATGGCCACTTTGCGCTGGACTCGGCCCGAAGAAACCTGTGGCGTGATGACAACGGAGTTGGTGTTCGGAGTGACTGGAATAACAGTCTGATGACTGCGTTAATAGCTCCTGCCTATGTTGAATTACTCATACAGTTAAAAAAACGTTATTTCCCTGGTTCTGACCCAACATTGTCAGTTTTACAGAACACACCTATTCATGTGGTCAAGGACACTTTAAAGAAATTTTTGTCATTTTTCCCAGTTAACAGGCTGGATCTACAGCCAGATTTATATTGCCTGGTGAAAGCGCTGTACAGTTGCATTCATGAAGACATGAAACGTCTTTTACCTGTCGTGCGGGCCCCAAATATTGATGGCTCTGACTTACACTCTGCAGTTATAATTACTTGGATCAACATGTCTACTTCAACGAAAACTAGACCATTTTTTGACAATTTGCTGCAGGATGAATTGCAGCACCTTAAAAATGCAGATTATAACATCACAACACGCAAGACCGTAGCAGAGAATGTCTACAGACTAAAACACCTCCTTTTAGAAATTGGTTTCAACTTGGTTTACAACTGTGATGAAACTGCTAATCTTTACCACTGTCTTATAGACGCAGATATTCCTGTTAGTTATGTGACCCCTGCTGATGTGAGATCTTTTTTAATGACGTTTTCCTCTCCTGATACTAATTGCCACATCGGGAAGCTGCCTTGTCGCCTCCAGCAGACTAACCTGAAGCTCTTTCATAGCTTAAAGCTTCTCGTTGATTATTGTTTTAAGGATGCGGAAGAAAATGAGATGGAAGTGGAGGGCCTGCCCCTTCTCATTACACTGGACAGCGTCTTGCAGACTTTCGATGCAAAACGACCCAAATTTCTAACAACATACCATGAATTGATTCCATCCCGCAAAGACTTGTTCATGAATACATTATACTTGAAATACAGTCATATTTTATTGAACCGTAAAGTTGCAAAAGTGTTTGACATCTCCACCTTTGCTGACTTGTTAGCCTCAGTGTTGCCTCGTGAATATAAGACCAAAAATTGTACCAAGTGGAAAGACAATTTTGCAAGCGAGTCTTGGCTGAAGAACGCATGGCATTTTGTCAGTGAATCGGTCAGTGTGAAAGAAGATCAAGAAGACACAAAACCAGCATTTGCCGTTGTGGTGGATACCCTGAAAGACTGGGCACTGCTGCCGGGAACAAAGTTCACCGTTTCAGCCAACCAGCTGGTGGTCCCTGAAGGAGACGTCCTGCTTCCTCTAAGCCTCATGCACATCGCTGTCTTCCCAAATGCCCAGAGTGACAAGGTTTTTCACGCTCTCATGAAAGCTGGCTGCATTCAACTTGCTTTGAACAAAATCTGCTCCAAAGACAGTGCATTTGTTCCTCTGTTGTCAAGTCACACGGCAAACATCGAGAGCCCAGCGAGCATCCTGAAGGCTGTACATTATATGGTCCAGACCTCAACATTCAGAGCTGAAAAGTTAGTCGAAAATGACTTTGAAGCGCTTTTGATGTATTTTAACTGCAATTTGAGTCACTTGATGTCTCAAGATGACATAAAAATTTTAAAGTCACTTCCATGCTACAAATCCATCAGTGGCCGCTATATGAGCATTGCCAAATTTGGAGCATGCTTTGTGCTTACAAAAAGTATCCCTTCAGCTGAAGTGGAAAAATGGACACAATCATCATCGTCTGCATTTCTTGAAGAAAAAATGCACTTAAAAGAACTCTATGAGGTGATTGGTTGTATACCTGTAGATGATCTGGAGGTGTATTTGAAACATCTTTTACCAAAGATTGAAAACCTCTCCTACGATGCAAAATTGGAGCATTTGATCTATCTTAAGAATAGGTTGTCAAGTGCCGAGGAGCTATCAGAGATCAAGGAACAACTCTTTGAAAAGCTGGAGAGTCTGTTGATAATTCATGATGCCAACAATCGACTGAAGCAAGCAAAACATTTCTACGATAGAACTGTGAGAGTTTTTGAAGTTATGCTTCCCGAAAAATTGTTTATTCCTAAGGATTTCTTTAAAAAATTGGAACAACTTATAAAACCCAAAAATCACATTGCATTCATGACATCCTGGGTGGAATTCTTGCGAAACATGGGACTAAAATATATCCTTTCGCAGCAGCAGTTGCTACAGTTTGCTAAGGAAATCAGCGTGAGAGCTAATACAGAAAACTGGTCCAAAGAGACACTGCAAAACACAGTTGACATCCTCCTGCATCATATTTTCCAAGAACGAACGGATTTGTTATCTGGAAACTTTCTGAAAGAACTGTCTCTAATACCGTTCTTATGTCCTGAGCGGGCCCCTGCTGAGTTCATTCGATTTCATCCTCAGTATCAAGAGGTGAACGGAACCCTGCCTCTCATAAAGTTCAACGGAGCACAGGTCAACCCGAAGTTCAAGCAGTGTGATGTGCTGCAGCTGCTGTGGACGTCCTGCCCCATTCTTCCAGAGAAGGCCACGCCCTTGAGCATCAAGGAGCAGGAAGGCAGTGACCTTGGCCCCCAGGAGCAGCTGGAACAGGTATTAAATATGCTGAGTGTCAATCTGGATCCCCCCCTTGATAAGGTCATTAATAACTGCAGAAACATCTGCAACATAACAACTTTGGATGAAGAAATGGTGAAAACTAGAGCGAAGGTCTTAAGGAGCATCTATGAATTTCTTAGCGCGGAGAAGAGGGAGTTCCGTTTCCAGCTGCGGGGGGTGACTTTTGTGATGGTGGAAGACGGCTGGAAGCTTCTGAAGCCCGAGGAGGTGGTGATAAACCTAGAATACGAGTCTGACTTTAAGCCGTATTTGTATAAGCTGCCACTCGAACTTGGCACATTTCACCAGTTGTTCAAACACTTGGGTACTGAAGACATTATTTCCACTAAGCAGTATGTCGAAGTGCTGAGCCGCATCTTCAAGAATTCGGAAGGAAAGCAGCTGGACCCTAATGAGATGCGTACAGTTAAGAGAGTCGTCTCCGGTCTGTTCAAGAGTCTGCAGAACGACTCCGTGAAGGTGAGGGCTGACCTTGAGAACGTCCGCGACCTGGCGCTGCACCTCCCCAGCCAGGACGGCCGTTTGGTCAAGTCCAGCATCTTGGTGTTTGACGATGCGCCGCATTACAAGAGCAGGATCCAGGGGAACATCGGCGTGCAGATGTTGGTGGACCTCAGCCAGTGCTACCTGGGGAAGGACCACGGCTTTCACACCAAGCTCATCATGCTCTTTCCTCAGAAGCTCAGGCCCCGCCTCCTGAGCAGCATCCTCGAGGAGCAGTTGGACGAGGAGACCCCCAAAGTCTGCCAGTTCGGAGCGCTGTGCTCTCTTCAGGGGAGACTGCAGCTACTGTTGTCTTCCGAGCAGTTCATCACGGGCCTCATCAGGATCATGAAGCATGAGAATGATAACGCTTTCCTGGCCAATGAAGAGAAAGCCATAAGGCTCTGCAAAGCCTTGCGAGAAGGACTGAAGGTGTCCTGCTTCGAAAAGCTTCAAACAACATTAAGAGTGAAAGGCTTCAACCCTATTCCCCACAGCAGAAGTGAGACTTTTGCTTTTCTGAAGAGATTTGGCAACGCGGTCATCCTGCTGTACATCCAACATTCAGACAGCAAAGACATCAATTTCCTGTTAGCATTGGCGATGACCCTGAAGTCGGCCACTGACAACTTGATTTCTGACACTTCCTACTTGATTGCTATGCTAGGATGCAATGACATTTACAGGATCAGTGAGAAGCTCGACAGTCTAGGGGTGAAGTACGACTCTTCAGAGCCATCCAAACTGGAGCTCCCGATGCCTGGCACGCCAATACCCGCCGAGATTCACTATACTCTGCTAATGGACCCCATGAACGTCTTCTACCCGGGGGAGTATGTTGGGTACCTTGTTGATGCGGAAGGCGGGGACATCTATGGGTCATACCAGCCGACGTACACATATGCGATTATCGTGCAAGAGGTTGAAAGGGAAGATGCGGACATTTCTAGTTTCCTGGGAAAGATATATCAGATTGATATTGGCTACAGTGAGTATAAAATCGTTAGCTCTCTTGATCTGTATAAGTTCTCAAGGCCTGACGAGAGCTCCCAGAGCAGAGACAGTGCTGCCTCCACACCGACCAGCCCCACGGAGGGCCTCACTCCTGGCCTCAGGAGCATTCCTCCCCTCTTTTCTGGCAGAGAGAGCCACAAGACTTCATCTTCAAAGCACCATTCCCCCAAAAAGCTCAAGGTCAATTCTTTACCGGAAATCCTCAAAGAAGTGACGTCCGTGGTGGAACAGGCTTGGAAGCTTCCGGAATCGGAACGAAAAAAGATCATTAGGCGGTTGTATTTGAAATGGCATCCAGACAAAAACCCAGAGAACCATGACATTGCCAATGAAGTTTTCAAACACTTGCAGAATGAAATCAACAGATTAGAAAAGCAGGCTTTCCTAGACCAAAATGCAGACAGAGCCTCCAGACGAACGTTTTCAACCTCAGCGTCCCGATTTCAGTCAGACAAGTACTCGTTCCAGAGATTTTATACCTCATGGAATCAGGAGGCCACGAGCCACAAGTCTGAGAGGCAGCAGCAAAATAAAGAGAAGTGCGCGCCATCGGCGGGCCAGAATTACTCCCAGCGCTTCTTTGTGCCGCCCACGTTCAAGTCGGTGGGCAACCCGGTGGAGGCGCGCAGGTGGCTGCGGCAGGCGCGGGCCAACTTCTCGGCCGCCCGAAACGACCTCCACAAGAATGCCAACGAGTGGGTGTGCTTCAAGTGCTACCTGTCCACCAAGCTGGCCCTGATTGCCGCGGACTACGCCGTGAGGGGGAAGTCGGATAAAGACGTGAAGCCCACGGCGCTCGCCCAAAAGATCGAGGAGTACAGCCCGCAGCTCGAGGGACTGACCAACGATGTGCACACGCTGGAAGCCTACGGCGTGGACAGCTTGAAGACGAGGTACCCCGACTTGCTCCCTTTCCCGCAGATCCCCAACGACAGGTTCACCTCTGAGGTTGCCATGAGGGTGATGGAGTGCACTGCCTGCATCATCATCAAACTTGAAAATTTCATACAGCAAAAGGTGTGAAGATGTTCAAGAGGGAAGCAGAGGTGGGTCTTGGCGGCGTTGTTAGCACAAACAGAACCCGCCGCCCCATCATGCTTCGCTGCCAGTTAGCGAAGCACATTGCGGGTTGTTCTGAAAGAACTTTGGAGTTGTTGTTAGCATGGACGCCAACCGAAAACCTTAGCTGAATCTAAAAGAGATTGCTCTTGAAGGTGGTGTGGGCTGCAGAGCAGCTGGGTATACCTGAATGACTGGGAGAGCACAGTTTCAGCCTGCACTTTATGTAACCAAAGCTTTGCAGTTTGTTAAGCGTCTGTGTACATCTCTGGTTAGGATGAAGTTAGTTTTGTGTTTTAAGCAGCTAATGAAACACTGGTTTAGACATAGAAGGGGAATCGAGTCTTTGTAGCATATCATTTTTTAAAGTGAACCCTCTTAGATGCATTATTTTCTTATCAGCTGGCTCTGATTATGAATTTGTTGCAGTTTTACATCTTCAATACTCAGTGCATTTAAAAATGGTACAGTATTTTAATCCTGAATATTACTTGACCAAGTGTGAGGGTAGTCCTTCCCAGAGTGCACTGCGTGCACTTTACGTCTTTCTTTTAAATGGTTTTTTATACTTTGTGTTTACAGGTTGTGAAGATAGCATACAGGAAACTCAGAGTGGTGGCAGTTCTTATAACTGATGTTAATATTTTTTCTGGAGACTGCTTACCAGATGTTTTTCAGCTGTTAGAAGCCCTGCTTTATGTTTATGTGTACACATTTTTCATAAATGTCATATTTATATAGTGTGGTTGAAAATGATGCAATCTTTTGTTGTCTAAAGGTGCTGCAGCTAAAAAAAAGCAAAAACCATTGTCCTTCAGTATGGCAGTTAGTGGAGTTCTTTTTTTTAACTTTAAAAACATTTAAAATGGTTAAAACCATTGTGATATCTAGTAGTTTATAAAAGAGGAATCATCAACCTCCCCATGGATGATCAGAACTGACATTTAATTTTCATCATGTGTAAGAGTCTCACATATTTACTTTAACAAGTTTCTTTTGCTGAATGTAAAAGAAAGATAATGATCATTAGTTGATATCAGTAAATGATGACTGTAAATGATGCTAAGTATAATGTTTTATGCAATTAAGGGCTTACAGAACATGTGAAAATTTTTTTTACTTGTATTGGTAATACGGAATGTTTGCACCTCTGCAATTATATTGCTTCGGGATATGAAATTATGTAATTATTTCTGCTGTTATATTAAGTGCCATAATTTTAATAAAGCAAAATGTACATATGACATCATCGTAAGGAGCATTTGAGAAATAGTTCATTGGAAATCAAACTCAGTATCTTCCTGTATTAAGTTTTGATGTGTGTGTCTGTGTGTGCTTATTGGGAATGTTAAGGTAGAGTGTCCTGTATATTTTTTTGCTGGGATTTTGCAGGTCGCTTTCTCAGGATCAGTGAACCATAAAGAGCTTGGTATATATGAGGTTTGGTAGGTGCTTCTTGACTTAGCTAAGTGTTGATTTCACCTTTTCAGGGGTTAAGTTTGTTATCCATATGGAGTGCCTGTGTGTGTGGAAATAGACACGTGTATATGGTTCTCTTGGTGGTGAAGACTGAGTTGGTGCTTCCCTTGCCCCCAAGGAGGATGCATGTTGGGCTCATTCATACCTGAACCCTGGCAGATCTGAAGTGTCTATCTTTACCGCTGAGGCCTGAGTCTTTGGGGGCGTGGCAGGCAAGGGCTGAGGGCTCTGTCCAGGGCTGCCGAGTCAGGGGACTTCCTCTGGACTTCCTGAGTGTCTGCTGCTTTGAAGCTTAGATTTGGCACTTAGAATATATGTTCTTGCTTTTGAAGATCAAATTTTACATGGGAAACCTAGTGTCTGGCCTTGGTCACAGTTGATCTAATTGGAGTTTTGTGTTTTTCCAGACTTAAAAAAAAAATGCAGCCTCACAGTCCCTTGTATTTACCCTGAGTGTGTTTCAGAATTTGATTTTAGGAAGTGAACACTACAGGCGTATGTCCCTTTTTAATGAAACACTGCCATCGGGGCCGAGCTGCACCTGGAATCAAACACACTCATATATCTGCAGTGAAGCCCCTGAATATTCCCACTAAACTGAGTAAATAAACCTGATAAACAGCCTCTTGTGCGTTCAGGACAGGTTTTGCCACCCATAGTTTGCAGCAGACATTTGAAAAGTTTTCATTTTTTTGGAGCTTTTGAGATCTTGAAGATAAGGAATTCTGGACCTAGTTTATGTGTTACACTGTTGCATGCTTTCCTGTTCCTTTCCTTGCATTTTGCTTGTCTTTTTGAAGGGCCCTGGGAGCTGTCTGCATGGGTTGTGGGTTGCTGCTCCTGCATTGTGTGCGTCTGGGAATGGGAGTGGGGTCTTTGCTGTGACCGGTGTCCCCAGCTGGGTGTCCCGATTGTTCATAAGCGCCGTGAGGAGACCAGTGAGAAACTTGCCTAGTACGGTGAGCTCACAGAGCAGGGAGTGCTGAGCGCCCAATGGTGATTTGAGTGAAATGTTAAAATAGTGCTTAGCAAAATGCAGGGACGCTGTTGGTGGGTTCACTTAGGTGTGGGCGGGGTTTGCTTCCTCCCTGGGTGCCGGTTGCCGTTTTCTGTGCTTGAAGTGTTTTGTTGAGCTCCAGGGTAATGTTTGCAGGGCTGGTAGAAGACAGCAAGTCTAGAAGATGTTTATTAGTCATGCATCCATCAGTTCCACCAGAGAAGCAGAACCAGGAGAGCATGTGTGCATGCATGTGAAAAAGCTGACTTCCAGGAACTGACTAGGGGTCGTGGAGGCTGCAGGGCCAGAGCCCGCAGGGCAGGCCATGGCCTGGGTGTGTATGGGCAGGAGCCGGCAGGTGTGTTGCATACGACACTGGTTGCTACCTTTTAAAAAGACTCTTGTTTGAAGAGATGTGACTTCAAGGCTTAAAGTCATTCATTTGTCAGGGCGGGTGCTAGGTGGGATGGTGCACGTGCCAACCGGGCTGTGGGTCAGACCTCAGATGGGTGTGACGTGGTTGTCTACTAACATTATGGAGTTAGTCGACTCGTAGACTAAGCCTTATTATTTAAAAATAAGACATGTGGTGTGTTTACAACAGCTGCTTCTCTCTTTTAGAGCTAATAAGCGGCTCTGAAATATCCTCCCTTACTCTGAATACAAAATCCAGGCCTCTAAAAAGGCAAGATGGAATAGACAGTGCACCATCTATTCTGTCAGAAGTACACTTTAACTGAGCTGTGCCTCTGGCTCACCTGCTAATATGACACAAAGCTGACTTGTTTTCCCAACCACAGCAGATTTGAAGTGGAAGTTATCATGTGGAGAAGACTGCCCAACCTGCTAACAGCTGATGTTTCAAACTGGGAAAGGAGGGAGACAAGGAGTGAAAATAAACAGATGAGCCTGAAAGCCTTCGTGTGAGGATTCTGCCCTTTTGAAAGAACAGCGGCCGCCCTCATGCCCTGTTCCTCGCAGGAGCAGAGGCACACCCGATGGGTGGCCCGGGGGGCAGGGCGACCCAGCCGGTGGGGCTACAGCCTCCTTGAATCTGGTTGCCATAGAGAAGGCAGCACGTGTCACCCCCTCCACATCGTGAGTGTGGGAGTCAGAGCCACTAGTCCATGTTTTATTCCGCTGTGAGGTATTAGGAAGTTCATTTTACTGTGAATCAAATGTCTTTACTATTAAAGCTAATATTTTGATCTTCATCTTCTTGACTTGTGCCTACCTAGTTCACAAGTTGGCAGAGAAATATGTGTTATTTTTGGATCCCTAAGATCTCAACATTCAGTGGTCTATGAACAGAATAATATGAGGGGGATCCCAAAACACCCAGAATTAATAGTTTTTTGGAGGGTGGGCCCCTTGTAATACAGGCTCTCCCTACTAGCTAAGTGTTCTTGGAACCCGTCAGCATTCGTGTACTGGCTACCATTGTTATGAGAGGCTGTGTTCAGCTTCAGTGAATTTTTCTGGAGATTCTTTCAGCGTTTCCCCTTTGCATGATGGGGGATTTATGAGCACCTCTGCCCATACTGTGCTGGGTTTTCAGCAGTTTGGGAGCAAAAACGGCATGAACCCCAGGCCCCACCCTCCCTATTCATCCAATCGCGCCCCAAGCGACTCTTTTGTTTTCCCAGTTGAAAAAAGTCATCAGAGGGAAATGTTTTGCTGATGTCGAAAAGGTGAAATAAGAAATGGCAGAAGCACTAAAAGGCATTAAAATGGAGGAGTTAAAAAACTATTTCGAGCAGTAGAAAAAGCATCTTGATAGATGTCTTGTATCAGAGAGTTCTTCGAAGGTGACTGAAGTTTACACCTGTAAGAATAAATATACACTTTTGAATAACTACTGGGTTTTCTTTAGGTCCCCTTTGTATAATAGGAGTATCAGTCTATATACCTTGATATGTTTATATATGTTTATATATCCTTTGGGAGGCCGAGGTGAGTGGATTGCCTGAGCCCGCAGGTCGAGACCCGCCTGGGCAACTTGGCGAGACCTCATCTCTACAATAAATCAAAAATCAGCCGGGCGTGGTAGTGTGCGCCTGTAATTCCAGCTACTCGGAAGGCTGAGGCGGAAGGATCGCCGGAGCCCAGCAGGTCGAGGCTGCGGTGGCCGGGAGCGGCCACTGCACTCCAGTCTGGGCGACGGAGTGAGACTCCAACTCAAAATAAATAAATAAATAAATAAATAAATAAATAAATAAATAAATATATATCTTGTTATATGTTTATAAGGAGCCTAGATCTTCATCGAAAATTTAAATTATATTGCACGATGTTTTTAAGAAGACATATTTATGCAATACATTTGAGAATACAGTCTATCTAAAAACTTGATTTAAAGGAAGGATAGATTCCTTATTCTGGAGACTTCAGCTACCCGTAACTTCTTTCCAGATGATTCCATATAGCTAAGGCGCAAAAAATAGAATTTAGGCCTTTTACTCAAAAGGTCCTGTTCTCCCTGCTTCCTACTTGATTTTTTTTTTTTTTTTTTTTTTTGAGTTGGAGTGTCACTCTGTTGCCCAGACTGGAGTGCAGTGGCCGCTCCCAGCCACTGCAGCCTCTATCCACTAGGCTCTGGCTATCCTTCCGCCTCAGTCTTCCGAGTAGCCAGAACTACAGACATGCGCTACCATGCCCAGCTGATTTTTTTGATTTATTGTAGAGATGAGGTCTCACCAAGTTGCCCAGGCGGGTCTCGAACCTGTGGGCTCAGGCAATCCACTCACCTCAGCCTCCCAAAGCGCGGGATTACAGGCTGAGCCACTGAGCCCAGCGATTCTTTTCTTGACCTCACTGTATCATCAAAGCACCAGTTTTTGGAAATGTGAGAACCAAGCTAGTCTATAAATGTTCAGTGATCCTATGCTGTGTCAACCAGCCTTGAAGACACATTTTATACAAACATGGAACAAAACGACAAAACTATTTACTATGACAGTAGGAATGCTGCAGTAAGAAAGCATGTATTCATCCTAAAATCAATACTTAATGGAAAAGGTGAGTCACACCCCATCCCCTGCAAACCTTGAGAACTTTAGAGCTTGCTCCTAATTGCTTGGGAAGCACTGCATTTCTATTTTGCAATTTCAAGTGTTTATGCATATTAGCAATTTTTAAAAAAAGCAAGGGGTTGTTACACGTGTGCAATGCTGTGAAGTGAACATCATACTAGACTAGCATTATGAACAGAGTTCACTTTTCTACTTTCTCTTGATTCCAAGACTGTAGAGAATGAATTTGAACTTGTGTTTATAGTTATCTTATTAGAAAGTTGCAGTGCTGTTGGTCTCACCACTGGAGCTGTTTGGGGATTCTTATTATAATAACAGCTAAAAACAAACAAACAAATCCCACCTCTTTTTGTAATGGGGGGCATTGTACAAAGTGAGTGGGTGGCCCATGCAGAATGAACCTCTTTTCATAGGTTGATGTGTCCCATCTGGCTGATTCAGCGACACGGGCAACCAACTGGTACCAGGCATTTCACAAGCCGTGAGCGTCTGGTGCTATGAAGGTACGCCCAGTCTCCATCTCTCGAGTCGCGGTAGTGTCCAGCTGAGCAGCCAGGAGTCCCTCCACAGACTAGCCCTTTGGTCTTGGCGGTGACTAGACCCCCTCAGGCCCTCAGTGTCTCCTTCTGTCAAGTGAGTGTTATCTACCTAGACACACAGATGGGTGTTCCTGGCGCGAGGAGGCAACATATCAAAGTTTTTCAAAGTGAAAACAGCTGCGCACATTTTAGGCTCGCATTTTGGTTTAATTTCAGGAGTTACCATGTGACCATGTGATTTGTCCTATCTGGGCCTTGGTCACTGGTAACTTGGGGATAAAACACCTGCCTCAAAGGCCTGTTGGGAGGATTAAAGAAAGACACTCAACTGTGAAGTCTGGAAAACTTGTGTTGATTTTTATTGCTCACTGACTACATACGTAGGAAGCAAGACTAGCGTTGTGTGACTTATTCCTCTGACTACTTATTGAAAATCAGATGAGCCTTAAATTCTCTTCAAAACTCGAGGTTGTCTAGTGAAACCTGACACGCTGCATTCACCTGGGACTTGAGTGATGTGAAGGAAACGTGTAGAACTTTGGGGCATTTAAGGATGGACCTACGTTACTTTCCAGGGGAGTCAGATCGCCACAGTTGAGCATCATACATTGATTGCACACAGCGACTCAACAGCTTGACATTTCATCAGACATCAACATGAGTACAAGAGGTAGGGAGGGAGGCAAGGCAGACAGAAGCCGCAACTGTCCTGGCAAAAATGAATCCATCTATGGAGTAAACATGGAATAAACACATTGCTTTGATATTTGCTCGACGTTTGTGTCGAACATCCATGTGCCATTTTGAGATTGCCTATCCTTGTCCCAGCACCTTCACCAGGATGTTTTCCTCTGAGTTCCTCTGAAAGGTGTGTCCTACTTTCCGTCCACAGCTGCCTCCGTCTTGGGGATGTCCAGCTGCCCCCTGGGGTGGGAGGACTGGAAGTCAGCACCCCCACAGCTCACTGGGCAGAGGCAGGCTCTCGTGGAGGGCCAGGCAGGTGGCTCAGAGGCAGATGTGGCTGTGTTCCTGGCACGTGGTCCCCACACTGGCAGCGGACAGGTAGAGCTTGCCGTCGGGGCACACACAGATCTCGTAGAGTCCCTGCGAGCTGCCAGAGGGACCCTGCGTCTCCTGCACCAACTTGGGCAGACTCACAGTTTCAGCATCAAGCACCAGCTGTTTGCGAGGAAACGAGAGAAGGGGTGTTAGGGCGGGAATGACCTCGATCCACAGGAAATTCTCAAAATGTTTCCAACAATCAATATCTTTTCTCCTCAAGGAAAAGGAAACGGGCAACTGACTGAAGCTGTGTCAAAGCCCGGTTCCACCGTACACGCAAGCAGGGGCCTCACAGGCCCTGCTCCAGGATGGAGGGGCCGCTTTTTCCTATTGTGCGCATCCGGCTGGAAAGGTGACCCATTGTGACAATATGCTCTACAGTCTGTGTGTTCAGTAAACTGGGTTTCTCTCCAGTTTTATGATGCTGCACTCCTAAAAACGCCTTTCAGAATTATTTGATAAAAGAATAGAATTTTGCCACTTTACATTTACCTGGTGATCTGCCTCAACTTTATGTTAAATCACCTCTTCTCCACGGGATAAAGTGCAACCCCAGAAACAGATTCCTCCTAGTCACTTTCGCCTGTGAGTGTTGAAAGTTATCCTGATTTTGCCTGCAATTTTGTTTTCCCATGAGAGGTATTTAAATTCATCCTATTCGCCATCAACCCTTTCCCTTTCTGTTAAATATGATCTGAAACCCCACTGCCTCCTATTCGGTGCTGAAAAGCAGTAGACACATAGAATAAGCCCAATTAAAATGAGAGCGACTGGGTGTTCTGATTATATTGTAACTGAGTTAAGCTGAGAATCTGGAAATCTGGATAAGGAAGGGTGAGCTGTCACAGTGAGCAGCCAAGCCCTACCCACCCAGGTGTGTGCCCAGGAAAGGAGATTAAACCATGCCAGGGGTGGGCACGATGCTCTTCCTGGCCACAGGGGAGCCCCTTCCTTTGTCATATGTGGTCTCATCCATGTGGCCCCATCTATGAGTAAGCTGCTGTCTGCCGTCCACGTTCTGCTGGGAGCCAATCCCACCCCATGAGGTGAGAGGAACACAGGATCACAGCGTCATAGGCAGAGCTTTGCCCAAGTGGTGGCCACACCATCCAAGTCAAATTGGTGTTGTTTTTTTTGTTTTGTTTTTGAGTTGGAGTCTCACTCGGTCGCCCAGACTGGAGTGCAGT